GTGGTGACTGTAGCAGTGGACCATGAGCAGTGGCCACCATGCCAGAGAGAGCAGCAGTGGCCCAGGGGAGAGAGAGGTTCCTCACAGGACAACAGCAGGACAAGGACAGGAACTTCCTTAGGCTGTCAGTTCTGCCAGCAGGTTATTACAGGTAGAAAATGTGCACACACGGCCATCACAACGAACGTCAGGGAATTAGGAGATGTAAGAATTTAGAATCCCTAGTTGTAAATACAGCTGCAAAATTGTGAAGCAAATTATATTTAAAGAGTGTCACATTGAATGGGGGGAAAAACCCTATTTCATAAAAAAACTTCTAATAAATCAATGATGAACAAAGTAGATAATTTTAAAATTCAGTTTTCCTAGTAATTGAAGATACCTTGCTAGGACACATTGATAGACATTTGAATTATGTGGATCATAAAGCCACTTAGGGTTCCCTGAATGACTTTCACAAGCTACAAAGAATGTTGTAGAACACTTTAAAATGCCATTACATTTACATTTACACTTAAGTCCATAATCATAGGCAACGGTTTGCATGGTGAATTAATTTCTTTTAGAATATGTATTCTATAAGAATCATCAACTCTCGGTGTGCTAAAATTTGTGTTCTGAAATTGGTTGTCACAAACTTACTCCAATGTTGTCACAGCCTATAAATCACTCTTAGTAAAGTTTCATTAGCATGAACATCTTTCTCAAGTTTAAGCAATATTTTAGAGTTTACTCAAGTCTTGCATTAGCAACAGCAACTGACAGGGCTTTCAATTGCATCAATGGTAAATAATAGTATGCATTTTGATGATAATGAATGAAATGATGAATCATGTGGCCAATCAAGATCTCATATTAATATTATTTACTATGTCATACCAAATTATGACACCATTGTATATATACACATATCTAATATATAAAATCATACATATGTATGTGTGTGTGTATATATGTGTGTGTGTGTGTGTGTGTGTGTATATATATATATATATATGATTTGTGAGTTAATTTTATTGTTTTTTGCATACAACCCCTTATGGAGGTCAATCTTATGTGCCAACTTCAGTGGGCCTTGGTGCCCAAATATTTAGTTATTCATTATTCTGGGTGTGTCTGTGAGGACGACTTTAGATGAGATTAACATTTAAGTTCTTGGTCTGAGTACAAACATGGCTGTCCCTAATGGGGCAGGAATAATCCGACTTGTTGAGATCCTGGATTGATCAAAAATATGCAGTGAGAGTTTGCTTCTTTTGCTTGGCTTTCTCTAAGATGGACAGAGACCATCTCTGACAGTTTATCTCCTCTCTTTGGATTTGGACCCACTGGATCTCAGATAAGAGTTTGCACCGCCAGCTTTCCTGGGTGTCCCGCTCCGAACCGCATGTCTTAGGACTTACCGACCTCCGTTACTATGTGAACGAAATCCTTCTTATAGAAGGATCTGTCTGTCTAACTCTCTCTCTATCTATCCCGTCTGTATTGTGCAGGTCATCCCCTTTGAGTATATCTGTCATCTCTATCTATCTGTCTGTCAATCATCTATCATAATCCATCTGTCATCCATTGGTTCTGTTTCCCTGCAGAACTTTGACTAATGCCACCTCTTAATTTTACAAGTGTTAGAGTCTGTGAACAAGTCGGGATGGCGCCTGGCATTTTGCCAGTGAAGAGGTTTCAGTTTGGTTTAGCATCAAAGCAGATGATCCAAAAGATTTCTCAGGTCTAGGATTAAATTCCTGGAAATTCTGTGTCTATTTTTTAAAAAGTAGCATCTTGCTCTCTGTTTTGAGGTGCTTCATCAAAAGCCCTTACGCAGCTCATTGCATTAAGAGAGTCTCCCCAAAGCAGCTGCTTCAGCTGAATGAATCTGGGTGAGGAATACAAACCCTGGATGACTCTGCTGCAGTATCTAGGCTGAGTTGGAAGACTTTTTTTTCCCCTAAGGAAGTAAGATAACCATGATAATGAGTGAACCATGTTCATTTCAAGTGTAGCTTTGAGGACGAGATACAAATGAGAATTACTTCTAAGGGTTTTCTGATGGGAATCATTTTGACACAGGTGGATTTTGTGGGCAACACCTTCCACCAAATACAGTAGGGACAGGGGTTGAATTTTTTCCTAAATATATTCCACCACTTTGGACCAGAATATGACATCGTTTTATCTTTAAATTTAGTCTCCACTGCTTTCCAAATCCATTAGCACCTGCGGAGGTTATTTCTCAGGCATAACCCACTCTTTCCTAAGCGATTGGCGAGGATGGGGGATGCTGCTGCGATCCCATCACGTTCCACTATGGCCAGGGGCCCCCTGAATGAAACTCGGTAGCCGCGGGTGGTCCATTCCCACGTACCTCGAGGGCTCCTGGCCATCGTCTGCTCAGTCTGTGGAAGAGCTGGGGGCTCGGGGGGCTGGACTCCCCTGGGCACCATGTCTGGAGAGCACTGAGGCAGCAGGCTGTGCCCTGTCAAGGCGCCTCCTCCCCGTGCCCAGCAGAACCCAGGTGAGCCTTTGTGAGGAAGGATGAGCGGAGCTTGCCCTCTTCAT